TACCCTCAGCTGTGCCTCTGGTCTGTTGTGACTTCAGGCAAGTCACCTCACCTCTTTATACCTCAGTTTCCCTGTGCATAACATGGAGATCATGCCACTGAATTCCTTTATAAAGCACTTTCCAAGCCAAGGAGAGTTTTATGTAAGAGCTTAGTGTTATTATTGCTGTTGTTATGAAGTAGGTAATTTTTAAACCAATGTCCAAGGGACACATAAACAATCGCCAGGACTAATCTAAGGGATTTGCATGCAGAACTCTCATAACTTGAAAATGAAATCTTTCAACAGTCAAGGCAGGATGTGATTAGTAACTGATGGCACAACTGTGCAACTCTTAATCAACCTTTTAACTCTCCAGCTGGCCAGATGATGAAATGGTGATTTCCTGTAAGTTCCATCAGCCACACAATTTGTGCACAAAATTGGTCTGTTCCTTGCCCCTCGCCACTTGCAATAAACTCATTTATCTTTCAGCTTTAGATTCATCCCTGGGAAGAGACCTGTGAACAAGGGAGGCCTATAAACTGCTTAGAACCTCACAATAAGTAAGAATTAACTAGAGCATAAGCTTTGTGCCACTTCTCTGTACACGCTGAATCGCCCTGTACCTGATGATTAGCACAGAACTCATAGCAGGGGCCCAACCACTACAGCAGCAGATGAGTCACAAAAGCACTACTCTTAAAAATCTGGCCCCCAGAAATTAAAGCGCTCAAAATCCAAAGCCACTTACGAAGTGCTGGCATCAATAGGCTGTCATGTACCACCATTCAGGGAGTCTAAAAATACCACAAGACACAGTGTTCACATAAGACTTCTGCTATCGATGTCACTTCATAGAGTTAATAACAGTGGGAAAGAAAGTCCTGCAGCTGTAAGTGTATCTTGACCCACATACCATCAAAGGTGGCTAGTGGAAGAACCAGCCAGGATTGGAGATGGGCAGACCTCTGCCTCAAATGAGCACCCAGAAGTTTTAGGGCACAGACAGAAGTTACATTTGTCATGTGATTGGCCCCCTAAAAGTGCTCTACAGCCATGCCATGACACACTTGCACAGCTGCAGAGTATTTTTAAAGTGGTCCATCACACAACAAATTAACCCTCAACAAGGAGGAGGAGGAGGAGGTTAGATGAACACCTTGCTGGGGTCGTTTGACCCCAGTACTCTTTCCTGCCATGGCAGGGGGTCGGACTAGATGATCTGCTCAGGTCCCTTCCGACCCTAGAAACTATGAAACTATGAAATGAGGAATCAGATGAAGATGCTTCACTTGTGTTCGCTGGAGTTAATTCATGGTGCATCATCCCAGCCCCATTCCCAGGGCAGTCCGCAGGAAGTCGAGGGGGAAGAGGGAGTGAGCTGTGGGCTGGGGTTTGCCCGGCCTGAGCCGGAGTGGGGAAGTGGGTAGATTGGAACCCCCACCCTCCCTTCCAGCTCAGGCTGGACAAACCCCAGCCCACAGCTCGCTCTCCCTCTCCACTCCCTTCCTGCAGGCAGCACTGGAGATGGAAGAGCATGGGGCGGGGGTGGGGCTGGGGGAGAGGGTGGCTCTTCCACTGCAGACAGGCTCGATCCCCATCTACCCTCCCTTCCCCCGACACAACAGGTAAGCCTCTGTTGGGTCTGGGGTGGGGGGGCACTCTAACTCATAGCACTTTATCTAAAGCACCATGAGTTAGACTGGGGGCCTTGATGTTTGTCAGTGCCCTTAAAGTTCTTGCATAGCCTCTTGCGAGAACCCTTTGAACCTTTTGAGCTTGTAGATGTTACTCTGATGTTGTCTCATCTTTCTGAGCAAAGCATTCCAGTGATAGAGTCCCAGCTGATTGTGTCGACTTAGGCCCAAAGCCTGCAAACACAGATGTGAATTACTTTATTCAC